ATTCCCCAGCCAGCATGCTGGCTGGGGAATTCTGGGAGTTGAAGTCCACACATCTTGAAGTGACCAAGGTTGAGAAACACTGGTGTGAAAGATGGATGGGGGGAGGAAGAAAAATGCAAGATGCTTCATGACAGTGAGCTTCTCCAACTGAACTGTCCTTCCCTGAAAGTTTTCCACACACGGAGACCATTCATTGAGTTCGGCAAATTGCAAAATGATGATAATAAATAATATTGGAAAGCTGCATATTGCAGTTCAGTGGTCTAAGGTGCTTTATAAAGATGGCTTCAGTAATGTTTATTATGATCTTCTGTGCCAGGTCTCCAGGGAGAAGGCAGAGAAATCATGACTAACCACAAGCCACGTAATGGGCTTATAGCTGAGGCAAATGTTTTCTTGGCATTAAGAGCTAACTCACTCTTAGCTGCTGCTATTCTGCTAAGAAAAGGGTTAAGGGCAGCACTTCTCATAAGCTCAGAGTAATTTTTTCTGACACTAATCCTGTCAAACAAATGCTAGCAAGTTAATTGGAGAAACGGGTGTATCTTTAGTAAGGTGAGTTAATTTGCAATTTGATATGCCTGTTATTTGACAGGCTCCATATTGTTATGGGTTGTGGTGGACAAAAGCGTGGCTGCCCTTTAAGTTACACTTAAATTATTTCCAGGAAAATGGGTGAGATGCTCTTACAGCAGTGACCAATAATTTCAGGGCTCCATTTCTGGCAAGTTAAAGCGCGCACACACGCACACAAAGTCCCATTTGGCAGAAATGAAAAGTCTCTTTCAGGATTAGCTAACCAGTTACTGAAGAGCACAAAGGAGGTCTTGAACATTCTTGTGGTGTTTCACCATTTCTGTTTCCTCACATGCAATACTAAAGAGTGTCCGTCCCTTTGTCTAAGTTTGGTGGACCGTCTGCAAGGAGGTCCCCGAAAGGGACAGACTGTCTGGAGGTCCAAAGGTGCTGGAACTTTGGGGACTAGATGGGAACATTGTTTTGAGCACTCAGCAAAACAACAACAGAGGAGGACAGCTAGGTGAAAGGGAAGAAGAGCTGTCTGCTTGAAGCAAAGGCTGTTGATGTGGGAACTGGATTGCAATTCCCCAATGCTTTATTTCTCAGAAAAAATCAAATTCATAAAGAAAGAGCCCTGAGACCTCTCTTGATTAACTTTTGTTGCAATAACCCTCTGCCTGCCTCCCTCCTCCTTTCATTTGCTTGTTTGCAAAGAAGTTCCTGGCCTTCAGTTGTACTAGGAAATTTTAGAGCATTCCCTTGTGATGAAAATGAGTGAATATTTATCCTATTCTATTTTTATATGAATATACAACCTGCGCTCTGAAAGGGGCTAGGCAGGACACAGATGTGATTAAGCTGAGCAGTACATCCATGCTGCTCCTCAAGCATTTTTCATTCATCAACTTTAAAGTAGGCTTGACTGAAACGTTTCCCTAAAATGAGGAATTGCATTTTGCTATCCCCTGAATGAAATTGAAATTTCACTGGGATGGTGATGTTTTATTTTGTTTTATTAAGAGAGAGAGAGAGAGAGAAAAGTCCATGCCTCTTATAGCAGTATGAGGCCTTCTCCATTGCTTTCCATTGGACAACTTTCCCAGGTTTGGTGGACTCCTGGAATGACAGCTTTTGGAATTCCCAATCACAGGGAAATGGGAATTATGGGTCTGATACATCTGGAGGGCACCAGGTTGGAGAAGGTTCTTCTAATATTCCATAGACGTGAATGGCCCAGTTCCTCATGGGATTCTTTTTTCCTAATTCAACTAGTTTTTAAAAACCCCAGTGATTCTCAACCACTTAGCCAAGTTAACTGGCAACTTTCTTCTTTGCTTGTGGTTGATTTATGATTCTTCTCATGGTTCAGGTCAGGATATGTATGTTATTTCCTGCGAAACAATAGGTAATTAAGAAAGAGTTGAATGAAGTTGTCAGCACAGCTCTAATTTAAACTTATGAAACATTTACTTCTGCCTTATCCTAGCAGAATAGGCATTGTATGATCCAAAATAGGTTACTTGCAGTCCTTTTCACACAGGGCTGAGGTGCCAGTCTCACAGCAAAGCTGTTCTCTGTTAATGGTGTATTGTCACCATTGAACAGATGAACTGATTTACTTCCAGCTCAGGAGGAATTTCAAAATTTCTGTTTTGAAAGTAAAAACCCTAGAACTCTATGGAACTTAGGGTGAGTCATTTTCCCCTTCATACTGTCTCTTAATTCCTTTGTTCTTCCCCACTAAAAAACTGGGAAACCACTGTAATGTTTTTGGTAGGCTTTCAAGATTGATGTCAGTCCTTGAGATAGACCAGGTCAGGAAACAAATACCGAAAGAACTACTACAACTCTACTTTATTGTTATGGAATATAATACAGAATTGTGGTGTCCTTGGTGCTCTCTGAGCTTGGTTGTTTGCTTGCAGACATTTCAACTAGGTAACATCATCATTGTGAAACATAATACAGAATCTTGAAAGCGTGACCGAGTTTCTCTTATACCAAAAACAGTCAAGGCCAGACAATCTTGAGTTTCTTCCTCACCTCCTCCAGTATGGCTATCTCCATACTGCTCTATAACTACAGGAAATGTTGTATATGAACATTTCTAATTCTAGTTGAAGACTGCTTTAAAGCAGGGTTTTTCAAACTCTGTTCAGTCCTGTAAGAACTTGATGATGTTCTGTGAAAGATTAAA